ATAAGACTGTCTGGTGCTTAGTAGGGAATGGGGGAATGGAGCCCTATGATAGCCCCTTACGGTCCCTTATAGTAGTCCCTGTACCCTAAACCCTAAACCCTAAACCCTAAACCCTAAACCCTAAACCCCATTCCCTACTAAGCACCAGACAGTAGATGTAGTCACACAGCTCGAGCCCCAGCCCTGAAATCAGAAAACGAAGGGGCTGCCATACGGTTGATGGACAAAATCCTGCATGACCTTAAGGACCCTAAAGGGTTCCCTTAAAGGCATCTATAGGGTTTCGGGTTTCGGGTTTAGGGTTTAGGGTTTAGCATTACCTTAAGGACCCTAAACTATGGGCATTATGGTATATTCCTTATAGTGGGTAATGCAGGATTTTGTCCATCAGCCGTAGCACAGTGGCCCCATCCACGCCAGCATGAAGATGCTTTAAGGCTTAAGCCCATGACCCGGGGGTGTGGGTTTTAGGTCAGGGTTTCGAACCTTGAAGTCATGACGGCCAGGTCTGCTGCAGCTTTCAGCAAGCACGTCGCACTCTCATAGACGAGGCGGCCGCAATACAAGACTGTCAAGCAAGCCACACTGTAGCTGGACCCTACGTGCCGCTAGTTACCAGGAAGTGGCCATTCGAGTGCAGCTGCCCTGCCAGTATCCAATTTTTTTCTCCTGGGTTTTTTTTGCTTCTAGGAGTAAGGTTGGGTTCAGGGCTTGGGGTTTAGGGTTCTGCCTGTGGATCCGTTCTAATTCATGGGTCGTCCCTCTGCAGCACATGTCGTCAGTGATATTGCAGTTTCTGCATGCTACAATCGTGCTGTCTGTGGCAGCCCCGGTGCGATTTTTCAGGAAACAGAGGTATTTTTAAGGGGCTTGGGCTTCAGAGTTCGAGTGCATGTTAGGGTCCGGTCTTATTTGGGGTGTATGTTTGGGGTGCAAGGGTGGGTGAGGATTTCGTCCAAGGAATGCAAACTTCGAGAGACAGCGCTTCCACTTGTGAGATCCCCGTAGCAGTGATCGGAGCATCATGATGGTTGGTTGAAGTGGAGAGTGAAAGTTGGTCAGCTTTCTTACAACAAATCGGTGCCGGTGTCAGTAAGGGGCTGCCGTGATTTTTATGATCCGTCAAATGTAACATTGCTACGATCATACTATGTCGCTACGGCACTAGCGCCTGCAGCGTGATGACGGCTGCCCCTTTCTACTAGTACTACTTCCGCTGCTTCAACACTGGTACCTGCCCATGTATCACGATGACGACGATGACGATGACGATTACTATTTCTACGGTTGTGACATCTCCTGCTACTGCATCTCTTTGCTTCGAGCAGCTTGTGCATGGGATCCGCAGCAGTTTTGCTGTTCGGCAACCGGCAGCTTACTTGAAGATTTCCGCAAAGGTTTTCAACGCAGCACTGCACAGAAGACTGGGTTGGCCTGAATCGTGATGAGAGCAGTGCGGAGCTTGCGATCTCTCCACCAGCCAGAGCCGGCTGATCAGACGGATCCCTGGGTTGGCAAGGCTCATGCATCGGTTTCCAGGTTTCGGGTGTAGCCAGTACAGGGTTGTGAGTTTCTAAAGGGTACTGTAACGCTGTCAGGATACAGAGTTTCGAGATGTTTCGGGTTTCACTTTGGTTTAGTGCATCGGGAGTGTGCAGAGTAGGTTTCATACTTCCATGTCCTGACTGCGCTCAGTACTTTGGCTCTGGCTTGGGTTTAGGAGCTGAGGGCTTTGAGCCTGAGGTTCATGTTTGATCGATTTAGGTCTGTGTGCTACGCAGGAGGGTATGTTGTAGCTTGCTGTGCAACAGTAAAGATGATCAGAGCACACGGCAGCATGCTAGATCAGGAGCACGCTCGAGTATGTCATAGTAGCCAGGGACCAGAGGTCCCAGGTTGGTTTAGGCTCCCTTTTGGGGTCCAGGACTTTCCGTTTAGGGGGAGTCTTTCTGGGGTTTAGTCGGAGTAGAGTTGAGGAGAAGCATTCGCATGTACGAAGATAGCCTGCGAAGTCATGAAGCACCTGTCTTACCAACCGAAGGATTGTCTTCGACATCTTGGCCTCCGATAATGTTCCGCTAGGAAATGATTTGTAATTGTGTTGAGCTGTAACTACCAAGGCTGGCAGCATAGTTAAAGTAGCACCGGCATTTCTTATGAGTTAGCAACCCGGGCCTTCCCCAACTTGATGTGCAGCCAGCATGTGCTTCTTCGAAGGTCATGAAGTCTCCAGTTTATGCGGTTAGAGACTGATATCGAAGCGATTCAATCTCCAAAGTTGCAAGAACCCATGCACTGCACTAGACCATTGAAGTCCAAGGAAGCCAATGGCCGTGCTGCCTCGCCAGAGCAAGACGAGTTGACAGCCCCTACATTGGTGCCCCGGGAAGGAAGACCGTATTGATATGTGTCGTTAACAGGGCTGTTGCCGGACCTTGCAAGGGATCCGATAATCCCTTCAGATCTACTCCAGCTGACGCATGTGACCCCTGAAACCGATTATGGTCCATTCTCTCCTTGATTAAGGTGTACCTGGTCGAAGGGATGACGCTTGGAGGGATGTATCGCAACGCTGGGGCTCAGAACGGCCGGCCCAAATTCCAACGGTATAAAGATGCTTGGTGAATCCTTCATCAATTGTTACGTTTTTTTTGGTTGGACTTTTCCTTCAAAGAGGAGCCGAGGAACCTCCCGCCTGCATTTACTTTGACAATGGCTGGAAAGTTCGCTTGGAGACAGATGAAGGGACCGCTCACGAGCCTGCTGATGCCATGTCACATTTGCCACCGACCGGTACTTGGGGACCTTTGCAGGTATCTTGTCGATCATCTCCGTTCTTCGTCGTTGACGGGGCTACTGATGATGAGTCTGTCATGAATGGGCGCTATGCCTGCATCGGGATTTTCAACGGACGGCCCAAGTACAAGCGACTTGGCTCTCACGCTATCATCTATTTTGATACAAAGTGGAAGATCAATAAGTTGGATGAATATTGGTGGTACTTCTGGCATCCAAATACCGAAGCCCTTATGCCTCCAGTTGGTCTCTGGGAAAGGTATGATTCTGATTTTGCCACCGAACATGGACGGCCTGCCCCCACCCTCACAGCAGGAACGCAGTTCATGAGAGGAGACAGCCCATTGATTTTGCTCCACCATGAGGAGGTAGACTGGTCTGAACACCCGACAAGGAATGGCGCAACTTGGATTGAGCCTGGCGAGCGACGACCTGTAGGCCGGGTCCAAGATGCATGGTATTTAGAAGAAGGCTGGAGGAACCTTTGGGTTCCCTTCAGCGCAGCTGTCTTGGAGCATACAGAAAGCGTTGACGGACAGTCTGACAGTGCAACTCCTCCTCTCCCTCCGCCACGCTCCGAGACAGCCTCACCAGAGCCACCAGAGCCAGCTCAAAGCAACGAGCCGGTGTTGGTGTACAGAGTTCAAGGCTTAGATCAGCTGAGCGGAGTTTACGTGCAGAATGGCATGCGCAACTCAAGGGCGAGGTACACAGCGAGAGGGCGGGATGCGGAGCTTTTCTTCGACAACGGATGGAGGTTGTCTGCTGAAGGGCTCACATGCTTGGCTGAAGGATCATCTTCAGGGTTCCCCCCGACGGGCCGCTGGCAGTCAGAGGGTGGAGAAACGGTGACTGTGAGTTGTCGTGCATCCCCATTCTTCATCGTCAGGGGTGCTGGAAGTGACAGCAGACATTCTCGTGTGAACGGGCGGTATGCCTGTGTTGGCATTTTCATGGGCAAACCCAAGTACAAGCAGGTGGATGGAGATGGGATTCTATACTGGAGGGGCTTTTGGAAGATGACTTACGAGGACAACACTGGTGGTTGGTTCTACTCATATCCTGATAGCGACTCATCTCTGCCGCCAACAGGCACGTGGACAACGCATGGTTACAGCAACCCGTCTTCAGTTTGGGGTTTCTTCTTCTGTGAATAGCTACAACTCAGTCATAGAACCTTATTAAGATGGATCATTTCATGCTCCTGAAAATGTTAACAGCGCAGCCCTGAGCTCAGGTCATGGTGCTGGTGCCTTGCCGGCTCCTGAAGTTTCCGTCGGCCGCACGGAGGACTTGCGTGTCGATGACCGTGTCATGTTCATGCGATCAGGTCCGGGGGGTTCGGGTTTAGGGTTTAGGGTATGGTACACCTTCTTCCTATCAGGGCATGCCCTGTTCATGGTTCAAAAATGACAACCCTGATCAGGTCCGGGGTCCTTGTCCTACAGCCCAGGCTACACGCAGGAGATTGGCCAGATTCGAGAGGATGGCTTCTTCGCACCCAAACGGTTTGAGACTTTATGGGCGCCCCTCTCGACCGTTTCGTTGGTGCACGATCGAGATTTGGACCTTTATCATGAAGACGAACCATCGGGGGGAGCAGGCGCAGACTCACACACTCATGTGGAAGGCTTTCTGGAAGGGGATTCTGTTCCGGCCAGCATTGGTGACCAGGAAGAGGCGGAAGGCTCGGAAGCAGCACAAGCAGATGCTTTTGAATGCGGACATGACGAGGACTGGGCCGACGAAGTGGAACGCTTCAAGTGCCCAATATGTCTCGTGGTCTTGGAAGCAGTCCTTTTGCTTCTTTGGCATGTTGGGGTAGCCAGATATGACTCCGGGCTCGGGTGTCCTAAATCCTAATCCCTAATCCCGTACACCCTAAACCGTAAACCCCTAGACCGTAAAGCCCTAAACCCCTAAACCAGCTGTGGGGCTGCAAGGCTTTGAGGACTTCGGGGGTTTGCATTTCAGAGGCTCGAGGTTTGCTGGCATCTCAGCTGCTAAGCTTGACTTAGGGGTACTTAGAAATACTTTTTAATCTTTGGCTACTACAAACCCTAAGAAGCAGCTAAAATTATAATTTTTGCTAGGGGTCTAAGTTCAGTATAGTTGAGGGGTGTGGTTTGTAGAATAGAGGGCCTTTATATCTAAGTGTCAACTCTGGGTTTGCTAGCCTCTCAGCTGTCAAGCTGGAGGGTTGCTGGTTGTTGGGGTTTAGGCCCTTCATACCTATCATACGGTTGATGGACAAAATCCTGCATGATCCTATATACCTAAACTATGGGATTTATGGTACTATACTATACTTGGGTCATGCAGAATTTTGTCCATCAGCAGTATCAACCCTCGACATGCCGAAGCCGAAAGTCTTTATCTCTTGGGCTCAAAGGCCGTTGACCCGGTCAGGCAGAGCATATGCTCAAATCCTCGACCCAAACCCCTGACACCAGACATAAAAAACCCCGGAAGCCCGGAAAACAAGAGGACCAAACCTGGGAGTTCAGTGGCGCTGTTTTTTTTATAACTTTTCGTGCGATCTGCGGCACAAAGCCGTGGACGATGGTTTGATGGAGTGTATAAAATACTTCCCGGTGGCTGAGGGCCAGGGCTGCCTAACTTTACCATACTACCGGTAGCGTAAGATTAAGATCACCGTATCTCATGTCGGATTGTAGCATTCTTCTGGTACCCGACTGCACCACACGCGCAAAAGTGTTGTGTACTCTTTCAGGTCTGATGGTGGCCCGAGATGCCTTGTCACACCACTGCGGCGGATCGCTATTTTGCGAGGCTTGCTGGACCAGATGCCTGGAGCAAGATGATAAGTGCCTGGGTCGGTCTACCAATGTAGGGATCATGGTTTAGGGGTCAGGGTTCAGGCTTCGCGGTTGGATGCGTGGTCAAGTTTTATTTTACAACACGGTCCCACAGTCCAGCGTCTAGGGCTTGTTTGGTCGGGCTAATTCGTCAGTCAGCTCAGTTTACCATTCCGATGTAAAAACACGTTACAGAGAGCATCGCCCTACGTACATACATATATACATATATACACATACAGAGATACGTACATACATACGTACATACGTACATACATACATACATACATACATACATACATACATACATACATACATGCACGCATGCATGCATGTATGTATGCATGCATGTATGCATGCATGCATGCATCCATCCATGCATGCGCGGATTTTTAGTCCATTACACAGCCTTCTGGCATCCTATGTGGGTACCCTATTCTAGCAGTAAATGCCCCTGAGCTACCGAGCATTTTTCTTATGCTGGAGGAGCACGAGTACAACCCCGAGGAGCCCGTTCAAGAGCGCTTGGAGGGTGGGGAGGCCGGGGAAATGGAATTGGTACACAAGCCCTACCTCTAAACCCTCTAGACCTTGAGCCCTGAACCCTAAACCCTAAACCCGAAGCCCTAAACCCTAAACCCAATAAGCCCTAAGCCCTAAACCCTAAACCTTAAGCCCAGAACCCAAAGCCCTAAACCCTAAATCCGGAGCCCTAAACCCTGAACCCTAGGCCTGACAAACCCCGAACCCTGAGCCCAATCCTCCACCCTAGACCCGAGGCTCATGGGTTACCTGGACCCCCTAAAAACCCACCTCTACGGTTTAGGGTTTAGGGTTTAGGGTTTGGGGTTTAGGGTTTAGGGCTCATGTAAAGAAGCCATAATAACGAACCCTGAGAAGGTAGGTTATTTGGGGTTAAGGTCAGGTTTGGGGTTTGTAGGGAAGGCCCCAAACCGAACCCCTCGAGCGGATTAGAGTTGGGGTTTAGGGCTTGGGGCTTAAAGGGTTTAGGGTTTTTAGGGTTTAGGGTTTTAGGGCATTGGGTTTAGGGCTTAGGGTTTGGGGGTTAGGGTTTAAGGCTTCGGGTTTAGGGTCTAGGGTTTAGAGTGTTTAGGGTTCAGGGAACCCCTCTCCCCCCCAAACTTCGGACATGATATCCCTAAGGCCTAAACCCTAAACCCGACGCCTTGCAATGACCTCCGGAAGCCCCCGAAACGTCGGAAATTTCCCGGCCCGAAGCCCTGGGCGAGGCAGCCGTGAAGTTCCACACCCGGTCTCCAAGGTCGGGGGGCCCTAAACCCTAAACCGTCAGCCTTGAACCCTGAACCCTAAACCATGAGCCCTGAGCCCTGAACCCTCCAACCCTAAACCAACCCATCTTTTGGCCCGAAGGGTTTAGGGTCTTCGACGAGTTTAGGGCTGAGGGTTTTAGATGGGTTTCGGACCTAAAGTTTAGGGTTGTACATGGGTTTGGGATTAAGACGGGTTTAGTGTTTTATATGGGCTTAGGGTTTAGATTGGTTTTGGGTTTAAGTATAGGACGCTCAGTAACCTAATGATCAGAATGGGGTTCCTTAGGGCTGCGTAGAGCAAAAACCCAAATCCATGGGGACTGCTCCTTCAGTTGTTTAAAGATCGGGTGTAAATCAAGGCGCACTCCTCGATTGAGGGGTCTCGGGCTTACTCCCACGTGCGGGTGAGGGCTTGCGGTTTGGGGACTGAGGTTCAGGGTTTTGAGATTTCGGGCTTTAGGGTTTGCGTGTTTGTGGCCTATGTAGTGTTGCATTTACGGTCTGGGTATTGGGGTTTCGTTTTTCAGGTTTCAAGCATTCGAGCTCAGGGCTTTTCATGGTTTTAGGCTGGTGGTCATCTCGGGTGCTGCAGCTTTATCTGCTACCGTGTTTGTAATCCACGAAAGAGGAGGTTGGGGTACTTCAATGTTGGGGTTTGGAGACTTTGGGAGACCGAGGATGATGTTCAGCTGGAGACTCCTTTGTAAGGATCACGGGGTTAGGGTTGGGGTGTGTAACCCATGTTCAGAATCTCGGGCATCGGTGTTGATGTGGCGAGAAGGGGGAGTAGGCTTGCCAAAATCCGCGAACCACAAAACTAATCAAACCCCAATCCTAAACCCGAAAGCCCTAACACCACAACCCTGAACTACAGTAGCCTGAAGCTGGCTATCGAAGCCGTCATGCTTGAAGCTGGCAAGGTGGCTATCGAAGCCTCATTGCGAAGAGATCGCGTCACCGGTTGCAGCTTGACACCAACATTCGTTTCGCGGACGGCGACAAACGTTCATGTAGTTTGGTGCCCACGTCTTATTAGTGTCAAGCTTGACACGATGACGAGGAATTGCGCCCTGACAATGTCGTACGTGCTGGCGAAGTTCCTGTCGAGCCTGGAATGTGATTAACATAGGGGCCTAAATAATTGCCTATATATATATATTATTTTGCGGGTTCCTTTTTAGACTTATAGTATTAAAAGCCCCAAAATCCTAATTATTCTAATTATTAAGGCCCCTATATGAGCTGTCAACCCACTGCGGCGTGGGTCAATGAGGACGACCCCGAGGCTTCCGAGAACAAAGTTGGCGCTCTCTCTCTCTCTCTCTCTCTGGACGGGCCGTGAAGCATAGCTTGTCTTGCTTATCAGGGCGAAGGTGAGAACTGCCTGCGGTTTAGGACATGGCCAGATTCATAAGATCAGGTGCTGATGCTTGAACCCTGAACCCTAAAGTGCCCTGAAGCCGAAACGCCTACCCTAATCAATAAAGATTGCGATGAGGCTGGGACAGGCTTGGTTTGCGAGGATGAAGTGTTCGAGAGAGATCGAAACCAAAACTAGAAACTCCACAACAGAGGGTTCAGAGTTTAGGGTTTAAGGTTTTAAGGTGTAGTAGCCTGTTCAAGATCATTCTCCCTTCGAGTTTCCTACTATAAGTATCCTAGAACGTGCACCGAAATCCTGTTCTAGGCAAATCGCCTCCATTATTCCCGCAAGCCTGTCAGCTGAAGACCTAGGCCCGAACCACTTAGACGCTAAGCCGGAGAGACGGAGAGCCGACTAAACTGTTCACCCTATCACAAAACCCTAAAGCCTACACCCAAATCTTCCCCAAGCCATGAACCTTAAACCACAACCTTAAACCAAAATAAACCCGTAACCCGAAGCCTAAACTAAACCTAAACCCCAATCCCTAATGCTCTGCCCAAAACCCGAAACCCTAAACCTGAATCACTCCAGCACTCTACACCCTGGACCATAACTCCCAAACCTCAGATCCCACAATCCCATGAGTTCCTGCAGGGTCGAGCAGCTAGCGGAGCGATTGCAGCTCACTGCCCGGTGCTTCAGAATCGACGTCTAGCGACGGTTTAGGGTCGAGGGTTGAGGATCTTAGGTTCTGGGGTCTGTTGATGAACCTACCCATAGGCCCCATAGTTCCTTTTTGTGGATTAGATTTAGGATCCTATTAGGGAATCCCCAAAAGGAGCTACTATGGCGTAGACGTTTTTTTGCATGGGTGATAGGGGCTCGGCCTTGAGGCAACTTCAGGGCTTTGCGGCCTCGGGGAGCTGTAGCGCTTGAAGGTGTCAGGGTGGTTTCAAGGTTTCGTGCTTCGGGCTTTGGGGATAAAGGGTTCAGGACTTCTGGGTGAATCTTTATTGGGCTGTTTCGTTGTGGGGAACATGTGCTGCATACATGCACTACCTGAGTGCAGAGGTGTGCCCAGGATTTTGAAGGAGCGCGACCAGGTGTTGAAGAGTATCATGCCGCAAACTAGGGTGTACGGTTTAGGATGTCCGGATGGACGCAGGTAGCCTTAAGCCATCTTTGGGGTACTATAATCCCCATAGAGTTCCTCCAGGATACTGGACAAGTAGGTCGGTGGAATTCATGCGGCTACAGTGGCCTAGCACGAACGAGCTTCTAAACCCTACACCCTAAGCTTTCGGTTTCTCTGACTTCATCAGCGCTCTGAGATCTTCGTTCAGCAGCGCGGCAGCCCATGAAGATAGAATCCGGAATAAGTTGTGATACTATTCCTGATATGGCTCTGTTGGCATGATAACGGTATAATATGCCTTTAATATGCTACTTTGAAAGGTCCCCATTGTAGGACCCACTCGTAAAGCCCGACACTCTTAATTCGATTCTTAGACCGCTAGACCGCACATCCTAGACCCATGAATCCGCTGTAGCCCTGAGCCCTTTCCAACCCCCAGTCCGCACATAGTATACCCTCCCCAAAAGCCCTGCAATCTTCGCCGGAAGATCTCGATAAGCTGAACGCCTCTAAAATCCAGAATCTCCTCACCCCATAAATCCTTTACCATAGACCGCAAATCCTAGAGCCCTCAATTCCTAAACCCAACCCTAAACCCTAAACCCTATAAACCCTATAAACCCTACAAGCCCTAAACCCTAAACCCTAAACCCTAAACCCTAAACCCTAAACCCAAGACCCCCGTGTCTCCCAGGCAAACCATCCGACGACATTTTCTCAACGTACGGTGGACACTCCCGAGGACACTCTCCTGCGTGAGGTTTAGGGTTCAGGGGTTCAGGGCTTGTGCTTGAGGTGGGTTTAGGGTTTAGGGGTTCGGGTTTAGGGTTTAGGGTTAGCCGGTAGCCGGTAGGGTTCGGCGTTTCAGGTTTAGAGTTCAGGGTCTTGGATCTAGGGAATTTAGGGTTTGCAATCCAGGAATGCCATTTGCACTAACAACACAGTATAGTAGAAGCCACAAAGTTGGAACATCACTGTCCTCATGCCCTTAAACTAAGGTGTAGAGAATCGCAGCACTAATCATCCTAAGTCCATGTTCCAACTTTCGGGGATTCAATGTAAGTATCATACTTGCTACTGCTGCAGCATCGGTATTTTTTTGCATCCTCCACCATGTCTTGAAAAAACTGCTCCTGCTCCGATACCCAGCTCTTCTCCGGTTTAGGTCGTCGGGTACTGCCCCCACTCAGTGACAGTTAAAAAAATGTAATATGGATATAAAAGGCCCTTTTATCGTCGCCCCATTATTATAGGCTGCTACTGTATTGAGGCTGTATTCCTAAACCCTACACCCTGAACCCTAAACCCTAAACCCTACACCCTAAACCCTACACCCTAAACCCTAAACCCTACACTCTAAACCCGAAACCCTAAACTCTACACCCTACACCCTAAACCCTAAACCCTAACCTGTTTAGGGTTGTTGTTCTTATCCCTCGAGTCCCCTGGCCCGCTGCAAACCTGGGCCTTGGACGAGCCTTGTCCGGTTTAGGGTTTAGGGTTTAGGGTCTAAAGTTTAGGGTTTAGGGTTTAGGGTCTAAAGTTTAGGGTTTAAGGTTGTGGGTTGAAGGTTTAGGGTTTAAGGTTCAGGGTTTTGGGTTGAGGGTGGGGTGCAGGGTGCAGGTGCAGGGTTTGGGGGTCTAGGATTTAGGTCTCGGCGGGCGTAGTCTTCAGGGTGAAGTTTTCCAGCTTCGTGCCTCAATGTCCCTAGGCGGAGAACTCAGAAACTGCTGTCCCTCAACTTTGACCCCTAACCCTAAACCCTAAACCCCAAACTTTGCCTCTCCAGTGCAGGAGGTTGAGCTTCTTCCCTCGATGCTGCGCTCGCGCTTCTCGCCGCATGGCTTCGAAGAAGCCGGTTTAGGGTTTAGGGTTACTCATCATGCCCTAAACCCGAAACTGCAGAGCCCAAGCCCTAAACCCCAAACTCTGTTCAATTCCGGACCCTAAACGCCAAGCCTTAACGAAATTTTCCGGCCGCAAAGAAGTATGGTGGGGCCAGAAACAGGCGGACAGCAAGTGGATGGAGTGGGAGAAAAGTGGCAGTCGCAAGACCGCAAAGAGGACCGGAGCTGGCCGCCGGTATGGAGGGAATTTTGTCGAACCCTAGCCCTAGATCCTAGAGTCTGCAAGATTCCATGCTCCATAAACCCCTAGATTCTATACTCCGTAAACCCCTAGATTCTATACTCCGGAATTGCGGGTGGTGCTGCGCAGCGTGTTGGGGTTGAGATGGTTTAAGCTTTATAGGACCTCATGGAGCAGCTTGGATCTCGCACGTTGCGGCCCCCACAGCCTCAGCGCGCTCGAAATGGAGCCCTACACCCCAGAAGCCCGAGGAGGTTCGACCCGAAGACTAGGGTTTAGGGTTTAGGGTTTAGGGTTTAGGGTTTAGGGTTTACGGTTTAGGGTTTAGGGTTTAGGGTTTAGGGACTCTGAAATCCTACACCCTATAAGCCCTAAAACCTACACCCCAAAACCCGTGAACCCGGAAATTTTGAAGCCGGGGTAGACCTCACGGCCCAAACCAAGTTGTCGTCTAAAACACGAGGAGCGTTTTGAGCTTAGGGTTTCAGGTTCCGGGTTTAGGATCAGGGTTCAGGCTTTTGGGTTTAGGGGTTTAGGGGTTTAAGGGGTTTAGGGTTTCGGGGTTTAGGGTTTCGGGCCTAGGAGTCTACGGTTTCGGGGACTTTGGTGTTTAGGGAATCTAGGGTTTAGGGTTTAGGGTTTAGGGTTTAGGGTTTAGGGTTTAGGGTTTAGGGTTTGGTTACCTACACACCCTCTTTCAAGCCGGCTTTAGCTAGGTTTTTTGAGGGCCACCTCGGGCCCGGGGCTTCCTAACCTTACTTTGATGTCAGACTCTAAAGCACTACCTGACCCTAAACCCTAAACCCTAAACCCTAAACCCTAAACCCTAAACCCTAAACCCTTAACCCTAGACCCTAAACCCTAAACCCTATAACCCTCAACCCCGAAACGAAGACAGGAGTGCCTTTGGCATTGAGGAAGAAAGGCTTAAGCCACAATTAAGGGTTCAAGCAGTCTAGGGCTAGGGGTCGGAAATATGTATATAAAGTATAACTTGGCCCCAAAGGGCTAGTCCAATTGCTGAGGCCCCTGACTGTATGTCATAACTATAGGACCCCTCTAGTAAGCCTTACAGAACCTGCACGCCCCTAAACCCTAAAGCCTGAACCCTAAACCCTAAACCCTCAACCCTTAACCCTCAACCCTAAACCCTAAACCCTAAACCCTAAACCCTAAACCCTAAACCCTAGGCAAGAGCCGTTCCGTGGCTTCGACATACAGATGAACCCGTCCGACTCCTCGGGGTCAGGTCCGCACTGTCAGCGTAAGGGGTTCAGGGTTGTTTAGGGTTTGGGGTTTAGGGTTTGGGGTTTAGGTTTGGGGTTTAGGGTTTAGGGTTTAGGGTTTAGGGTTGAGGGTTTGGGTTTTCGGGTTGGGCTTCGGGGTTTAGGCTTTACGGTTAGGGTTTCTGCTCGGAAAGGCTCCAAGTATATAGTTATATAATAAGTATTACTCACTTCGGGGTCCACAGTCTGTAAAGAGCATCTCCTCTTGCCTGTTGGGAGCCCCCGAAAACATTAGGTTCGAAACTTACGTCTTTCTATCTAGAATATACTTGCTGCCCGGCTTGCAAGAAGATTTGATGTAGACTGTCACATGTTCTCCGTGCAGAATGTTTGTTGAGGCCTGGCCTGCAACATTTGTTGTAGACTTGCTCCGCAGCTTGCTTGGGAAACCCAACTGTGTTTCCCAGAAAATCCCGAACCTCAAGGATCCTCTGGATATAAGAGTTGGCTACTGCCCCCACTCAGTAACAGTTGGATAACATTCATATTACGGATATATTAGGCCCTTAATCGTAGCCCTATTATAGACTGTTGCTGTATGGGGGCAGTACCCAATATGAGAGCCCAGTTTAGGGTGTAGGGTTTAGGGTTAGGGCGGGGTGCGCGGGTCTCCGCTGGAGGTTGCTGCCTCATGCTACATGCTGCAATACACATCACGACAAGGTCATTGGCCTGTATGTACACATGTGCAGGTACCTACATACGTACATACATACATGCGCATGTATTTATATATATATATATATACACACATACATATATATATATATACATACATACATATATTATATAGATAGATAGATAGATAGATAGATAGATAGATAGATAGATGTTTCTGCAAACTAGTTCAGGTCCCCGTTAAGGGATTTAGGCGTCTCCGAGCCTGGCAGGCAGCGATGACAGCGAGGAGAGCAGCGAGGAGTCGCTCCCGGACGTGCCGCCGGGGCCACAGCCCGCCGGATTCTGGCAAGACTCAGACCGGACCCTAAACTTTGGCCCTAAAGCCCTAAACCCTAAACCCTAAACCCTAAACCCTAAATCCTAAACCCTAAACCCTAAACCCTAAACCGTGGGAACTATTCCCTAGTTCTCTTGATGATAAGTATACTATAATAGACACCAAAACCCCCGAGTCTGAGAATTCAGCATGTTTTTTTGCTTCGGCGGAGGTTGAGACTATCCAGATCCAGTCATCAAGCTGCAACCCCTCTGAACCCTAAGTCTTACACATCAAGCCCTAAACCCTAAACTCTGTTCCTTAAAAAATCTCTCTCTATACCTTAGAACCCGAATAAAGCCGAAACACTAAACTTGAACGAAGCCTAAACCAGACACTTGCAACCTCAAGCACTAAGCCTGAAACCCTAAAGCCTGAAGCACCCTTAGCCTTCAGCCCAGATAGACGGCCCTTGCTGAACGCTCATTTCTATAATATGGAAGACCCACAAGACCATATTGAGTAGCCGGTACGCTTCCTAAACAACCCTGAACCTTGCCGTCAAGAACAACCTGAACCCTTACCCGGAACCTGCAGCCCTAAATCCTGAACCCTAAAACCCTGAAAGAAAAACCTAAATCCGAAACCCTAAAGCCCTGAACAAAACCCGAAGCACAGAGTCCTAAAGCCCTACAGTCCTTGAGCCCCAACCCTCAATTTTCCCTGCGAGGCCGCTGCTAAGCAAGTTCACGACCGAGCAGGCGCGTCGCTTCGGTTTAGGGTTTAGGGTTTAGGGTTTACGTTTTAGGGTTTAGGGTTTAGGGTTTTAGGGTTTAGGGGTTTAAGGGTTCAGGGGTTTCGGGGTTCGGTTTCGGGGTTTAGGGTTTAGGGTTTAGGGGTTTAGGGATTTAGGGGTTTAGGGGTTTAGGGGTGTAGGGGTTTAGGGGTTTAGGGGTTCGATTTAGGGTTTAGGGTTTTAAGGTTCAGGATTTAGGGTTCAGCAGCTCCGGATCGAGCAGTCACTTGTCAAGCTAGCGGTTGTCGATTTAGAAAAGGCCCACCCGCCCAAAGAATCCCACAACATTCAGAATATACAAATCATCTTCTCAACGCCAAGAAGCCTTTAACCCTAACCAGGTAACCAAAAAAGCCCCTAAAATCTAAACCCTAAACCCTAAACCCTAAACCCTAAACCCTAAACCCTAAACCCTAAACCCTAATTCCAACTCACCCCCAAAAAAGCCCCAACAAAAAAAATCAGGCCGAAGCCCTCAAGTCGAAACCCCAAGGCCGAATACTGCACCTTCTGTTTAGGGTTTAGGGTTTAGGGTTTAGGGTTTAGGATTTAGGGTTTAGGGTTTAGGGTTTAGGGTTTAGGGTTTAGGTCCTGAAGACGAAGCAAACGCCCCAAACCGAGCTCCCCCGAAGCCTTAACCTCTAGTGGAAGCCAGAAAGTTGGAACATGATTCTGGGATTTGCTGTAATCCTTCTCAGCCCTAAGCCTTTTTAGGGTTTAGGGTTTAGGGTTTAGGGTTTAGGAAGAATTTAGTTTAGGTTATTACCCCTCCCCCCAACCCTCGAACCTTATCTGGATAGAACAAGGTAACCCACCATTCTAATGTTTTATTCTGCTAAGCCCTAAACCTAAACAGACATGCTGTTTCGGAATAATAAATAAATTTAGGAATAGGGTTTCGGATTTCGGAATAAGGTTTCGGGATGGAGTTTCCGAATAGAGTTTCGGAGTAAGTTCTCGGAGTAAGGTTTCGGAATTAGGTTTCGGACGACCTTAATCCATAATTCGACCCAGGCCCAGGGATTATGGATTAAGGTCGGCGCGACCTTGATCCATAATTGCCGTTAAAGTTTAGATACAGAAGGTAAAAAAGGGTTTAGGGTTTAGGGCTTAGTAAGTACAGGGCTATGCATTTGTTGTTGGTGGTCTTGTAGGGTGCTGTACTGTGTCATGAGGGTTTTAGGGTTTTGGACACGTTGTTTTGGAGCTCCATGAGGTTTTTTGCAAGGACATGATGAGGGCTTATCAAGGTACAAGTGGGTTTCGAACAACCAGAAAGATAAACCTATGGTATACTCAAGACCCTCGCAATGGGTTGTACCATGCGGCTTTAAGGATTGCTGTGGAACCATTTTCCAGACCCCAAGCCGTGCTGTTTGTGGTTTTTTCTGGCGGTTTACAGTTTACAGTCTTGTTGATGGTACCGTGGCTTCGGGGTTCAGGGCCGAGGGTTTGTCTTGCTCGTGTTCTTCCCCCAGAGGCTGCAGCATCTCTCAACACAATTCACTTGTTCTGATATTCTGAGATTGCATGAACCCTTCGTTTGCTTGCTTTGGGCCACAGTTCGGAGGCACTAAGCACTAAACCCCTAAGCCCTAAACCCCTAAACCCCAAACCCCTAAACGCTAAACCCTAAACCCCCAAACCCTAAAACCCCTAAAGCAAAACCAAACCCCTAAACCCTGAGCCCAAAGCCCCTAAACCCTAAACCGTAAACCCTAAATCCTAAAGCAATTCCAGACCTGAAATTCTCTGGGCCCCAACCTCGCAAGCCGAGCCTCTGATCCTAGATAGCCAATGGGAGAACTTTAAACTCTTTGTCCCTGTATATTTGGTCTTTTTTTTTTAAAGTTGAAACTCTTTTTGTTTGGTTGTTGGAGAAGAGAGTGATTGATACCCTGCATCGTAAACCCCAAGACTCAAAAAGGTGCCTCTTTGGCGGGTGTTGCCTGATAGTTTTGAGCTTCCAGGGCTTAGGAGTCAAGAGTTTAGGGTTTAGGGTTTATGGTTTAAGAGTTTAGGGTTTAGGGTTTAAGGGTTTGGGGTTTGGGGCTGAAGAGTGTACGTTTCATGGTGCAGGTGGTGTTTCAGGAACCAGCCGGTCAGTTGAACTGTTGACGAATGAGTTTGATGCCCATGAGAGAGGGATTTCTCAGTTGACCAATAGGCTCGGGGCCGAGGGCAGAAGGATTGGCGAAGTTCTTCCGGCCTGTGATGGTTGGGCTGTTCGACCATAAAGCCTAAATCCTACACTCCCGTTCGCGGCTCAAGGCCTGCCTAAACTCCCCCAAATAAGCAAAATATGGCCGAACACCTATAAAACGCTACTGTTCTACATACTTTCGGGGTCCAGGTAAGGCCTTACCCTAAGCCCTAAACCCTAAACCCTAAAACCCTAAACCCTTACATTCGGAATTTGGAATCCTCTTTGGCGGCAGGTCAGTCGATTGGAGTTGGTGCAACTCGCCCATGCATGGGGCCTGGCTGGCAGTGGGGTTCGGGGTGTGAGAGTTTGGGGTTTAGGGTTTAGGGTTTCAGGGTTTAGGGTTTAGGGTTAAGGGTTTAGGGTGTAGGGTTAAGGGTTTTAGGCTAGCGTTTTCTACAGTTAGGATCACCACCTATACAAGGAAATTAGGTGTCTAGGGTAGGATCCTCAAAGCAACACACAGGGAACTCATCAAATTAATGGCACTTGAGGGTCTAGCTATGGTCTGGGTTTAGTGTTTAGGGACTGCGACTTTGGCTTCAAGAAGCAGGCACGGCTTGGCTCCAAACTCGCTGATGTCTCACTGTCAGCCCTGATCCCTGAACCTTAGACCGACTGCATGCTAGTAACCTTTCGACAAACTGCATGCAAAAGCCCCTTGCACCTTCGGCGCCCGACCCCGAAACCTTAAACCCCGACACTTCCGCAAAAGCCAAAAGTCGTTTTGTAAAGCCTAAACCCTAAACCCTAAACCCTAAACCCTAAACCCTAAACCCCTAAACCCTACAAGCCCTAATCCGAAAACCTAAGCCTTAAATCCCGGACCCGACATCCTAAGCCCAAAGCCGTGAGACCCCCAAAACCCTAAACCCTAAATAGGTGAAGATGCAGCTCATGAAGGAGCGCGTGGTGCTCGGTCTCTTTTTCTTTGCTTCTTTGGGCGTCAGGGTTTTAGGGGTTTAGGGTTTAGGGCTGCTTCCACGTCCTAAGTCTCCACTTTTGGAGTTTGTCCCTGCCACTACAATCTGAAGCCCTACTACACCCTTGGCTTGCAATTCACAGCCGCAAACCCCAAGTAACTATCCCCCTAAACCCTAAATCCTGAACCCTAAACCAAAAAATCGTGAACCCTATAAGCCCTAAACCCCTAAACCCTTAAACCCTTAAACCCTATAAGTAGCCCTAAGCCCTAGGGCCTGTTAGTCCTTCAAGATCCGTTTCGTTGGATCGAGCCCTTTGCATCGAGGACGGGAGCCTGCAGAGTACAGGGTTTTTAGGGTTGAGGCTTTAGCTTAGGGGTTCAGGGTTTAGGGTTTAGGGTTCAGGGTTTAGGGTTTAGGGTTTAGGGTTTAGGGTTCAGGGTTTAGAATTTAGGGTGGAGCTTTTGGGTTCAGGGTTTAGGGTTTAGGGTTTAGGGTTTAGGGTTTGCGGTTTAGGGTTCAGCGTTAGGGTTCTGGGTTTGGGGTTTATGGTTTTTGGGGTTTGGGGTTTAGGGTGTAGGGTTTTTTTTACGTGGAGCGCAGGATATTTCAAGTTCAGTTGACAAACAGAGCCAAGCCCTATGCGGGGCGGTATCTGACAAGCATTTTCAATATTTGGTCGTAGCCCCGACTCATTCCCGAATATTTGAATCCACCCTGAACTCGAAATCCCGAGATGCCTAGCTTCCAATCCCTAGCCCTAGTCCCTCCCGAAGGCCTAAACCCTGAACTCTAAACCCAATCCCTAGAGTCAAATGCGCACTGCATTTTGAAACACCCAACCCCTTGTCTCTGTACCCCAAGCCGCAGGAGATTCCCCCCCGCGTTCTCCCCCGAACAGCATCCAAAGTGAAAGCTGCTGAGGTACCCGGAAGGAAGGAGTGCAGTCCATTCGTGCGTCGGGCACCCAAAAACTGAAAGGTTTGGAGTGGGTGCTAAAGTTACAGGCGTCAAAAAAGGTTCTAAGATGGGTCCTACTAAGGGTTCTGAAGTTTTCATGAGGGTTTTTGAATCATGGCTCCATAAAGGTCTTCGGTTTTAGAGGTTGAGGGGTTTCTGTTTTTATGTTTAAGGGGTAGGGTGCGGGCTTCTTTCGATGCCCAAGCATAATATCTTTTCCTGTCTCGTCCAGTCCACGAGTTCTCTTCTATGCCAGCCTGTAGGGTTTCGGGTTGAGGGTCTAGGCCCAGACGGCAGTAGCTAAACGCTACACCCTAAACCCTAAATCCTGAAACTTAAACCCTAAAGCCTAAAGCCCTAAACCCTATTACGAAACCATAAACCCTAAAGCCTAAAGCCCTAAATCCGAACTTAAGCCCGAAAGTCCGGAACCCGGCCCAACCCCCTTTTAAACCCTCCGTCAGAATCTGGCAGCTGGCTGTGTACAGGGTTTAGGGGTTTAGGGTTTAGGGGTTTAGGGTTTAGGGTTTAGGGTTTAGGGCTTAGGGATTTGGCGCTTTCTTTTGCATTTCCTGAGCCTCGAAGAGTCCTAAAGCCTTCAAGCAAGCGTCGGCCCCTGCATTTTCACTGTCCTTGCTTGGACCCCTAACCCCAAGCTCCTATTGTAGCAGTGTTAAAGGCGGGTGTGCATCCGACGCTCAAGTTGCCGAGGCGCAAGACGACGTTCACGACAAAGTTTGCGTCTCTGTGGCACCCTGGAATGCAGTCGCCAAGCCCTAAACAGAACCCGAAACCCTAAGCCCTAAACCCTAAACCCTAGAACCGCAGCAGCTTCGGGTTTGGAGTTGTGGCTCCGACCCCCCCCCACTTTAAGCCCAAGGCTCTATGAGACCAACCCATGCCTTCGTGTGCCAGGCCCGATGAAGTACGTACATTTCGATCCTCGAAGTCTGCTTCTTCGGTGAATTTCTTACCTTTGGGGGACACGATTTCTCCGAAGCCCTAGAAACACTAAGCCCTATAAACCCCAAACCCTAAACCTAAGCCCTAAACCCTAAACCCTAAACCCAAATTCCAAAGCCCTAAACTCTATAGACCCTAAACCCTAAACCCTAAACCCTAAACCCTAAACCCAAATTCCAAAGCCCTAAACTCTATAAACCCTAAACCCTAAACCCTAAACCCTAAACCCTAAACCCTAAACCCTAAACCCTAGACCCAAATTCCAAAGCCCTAAACTCTATAAACCCTCAAGAACTTAAGGCCAAGAGAGCACCCCCAGTCCCTCAGCTCGAAGCCCCGAGCTCCAAAGACGGCCAGGATCCCAGAAGAAGGACCTATAGATATAGGGTGGTTTAGGGTTTAGGGTTTAGGGTTTAGGGTTTAGGGTCTTAGGGTTTAGGGTTTAGGGTTTAGGGGTTTAGGGGTTTAGGGTTTAGGGTTTTGTAGCCGAGGCAGCTGCTAAAGAAAAGGCAGGCTGGCACGCCGGGGGCTCGCTGCATGAAGTGTTGAGGGTTTAGTGGTCTAGGGCTTAGGGTTTGGCTTACATTAAGGATTCACGAAGTGTAAGGTTTGGGGCTTGAGTTCAGGTTTTGGGAGGTACTCAATATTTAGGGTAAAGGGCCTAGGAAACCCGAAACCCTGAACCCCAAATCCCAAACGCCAAACCCCAGACCCCCAAACCCTAAACCTGTAGAAAGCTGCCACATCCTAAACTCCCAAAGCCTTACTTGCGCCGCCAAGGTTTGAACAACGGCACCATCAAACCCTTGCTAAGGCTTATACAACCGCTGTCAAACCCTTATCAAGCCCTTATGAAGCCTTTGCAAGACCCCATATATCGGTAGAGTGTAAACCCTGTGACACCTTTATCAACCCTGAAGACTTCATAGGCTCTTCATAGGACATCCTAATTTGGAAGGGGACTTCCAGGTAAGTTTCCAGAGTTCTGGGAGTTTCGGAAGAGAAACCCTAAACCCCAAACCCTACACCCCTAAACCCTAAACCCCTAAACCCTAATAAACCCTAAACCCATACTATGGGCGCCTGAATAATTTCAGTAGGGTTTGATAGTAGCGATCGTGGAGCTACGAAGGGCCTTCATGAGGCGAATCTGACTAGCCTAAATAACTACAAATATTGTTACCCGAAGGTTCCTTACTATAACTATACTATAATGTACCCCAAGAACTTATTCTAAGGCTTCTACACTACGTCTTTTTTTAAATCTGACCTCTACATGAGCATCGTCGTCTAGAGTTTTGAGGGAGCGGCGCGGGCTTGCCAGAGTGAGCATGCATTGTTAGAACACTGTGGGCATCAGTATGCTGTGTCTATAATAAGGACTGCCCAGAAGAAGACAACACTATCGAGAGTTGAATGATAAGCTATACCGTCCCGTTATATTGCTCATCATTCTTTACTGTCATAGCTCTAACATACCACTTTCTGGTTTCCGAAAGCGCCTGAAGAACAGCCCGATCTGGAGGATCACGGAGCAGGAAAACTATTTCTTGTCCGCCCACCCTGCTTGCTACGATCAGGGTTTGGGGCTCACGGGGAGAGAAAGGGAGTTTTTCAAGGTTCAGTGAGTGTGGGGAACCCTAAACCCTAAACCCGTTAGATATAGGGTTTGGTATTTGGGGCTAGGATGCGAGGGGTTCAACATTTCAGGCTTGAGGGTCTTGGGAGCCATGTAGGATAGCCACGGTTTAAGGTTTAGGGTTTAGGGTCGCCCCCTGGTTGCAGGGACAAAAATGTGTAGGCCCTTACAGTATGGCTCCCAAATATTCGGTCCCGACGGGTTTGAAAGATTTGGCCCCTGCTGCCTATGATACTGGGTTTACGGTTCAGGGTTTTTGGCGTAGAGGCTTAAACCTTAAGCCCTAACCCGAAGTTTCAGCTGTTCAGAGCTTTTAAGCCTGTTGGGGATTTCCTCGGAGCCCCTTCCCCTAAACCCTAAACCCTATACCCGGCTTTTAAGCCTGTTGGGGATTTCCTAGGGGCCCCTGGTTCCTTCATAGGATCGGGTTGTTAAGTTTAGGGTTTAGGATTTAGGGTTTAGGGTTTAGGGTTTAGGGTTTAGGGATTTCCGGCCAAGGCTTTCGGTTAAGCCGGCCTCCGGCTCAACCGATCATTGCATGTTTGGCGCTGGTGAACCTTTCTAGAGACAACCGAATTTCGTCCGGGATGAGACAGAAGCTGTCATTTTTTGCCTTAATGATTAGAATAGGGTTTTGGGGCCCATTTTGCTATAACTATAATAAAGAGCCCCGAAAATGGTATTGGTAATTATTCGGGCCCCTATATGATCCGGAGTGCTTGTTCTAGCTCCCAGTGGGTCAGGATCCTAGGGCTTCAGGGGTTTCAGGCTTCAGCTTACTTCAGCCCGACGTTGTGTCGGCCACCTTAAACCCTCAACCCTAAACCACTAAACATAGGGGCTTAAATAACTACCAATGCTATTTTTGGGTGTTCTTTTATTATAACTATAGTGTTATTTACCCCAAAGCCCTATTCTAATTGTGAAGGCACCTATATTTGTGAAGTCCCATATATTATTCAGATGTTCGCAATTTTGTGCTCCTTGGTTTTCACCAGGGAGCCAGCGGAGGCACCTCGTGGCTCCTATCGAAACCCTAAACCCTAAACCCTGGCGAGGAGTATGAACCCCAAGCCATATGTTTAGGGCTTAGAGTTTAGGGTTCAGGGTTTAGTTTTCCCTCCAATGCACGAACTTCTTCCTTTCATAGGCCGTGTACAACAAGCCCTGAGGCCGCAGCCTAGGCCCTAAACTATAGCGGCGTACCCGAACCGGTTTGGGGTTTAGGGATCCAAATCGGCTCCAACGCTTCACTGAACCACACCTATCCATCTCATCCGATCCCCAAATTACATCAGTTTCAACTTCTTCCACTCCCCCTAAACCCAACCCCTAAACCCCTACACCCTAAACAACCCTGAACCCGAACCCTCAACCCTATTCCCAGATTTCTGCCAGGACGTCGCAGCTGCGGTACTTGCCCGGCTCCCCAGTTAGAAGGCTGTTTGTTCCTGAGACTCCAAGCATCCAAACAGTACCTCCCTTGGGGTCTAAACTCTCTAGTAGAAGTAGCCACTCTGCTGTCTGAACTTTATATGAGCGTAGTAGTACCTATTTTGGGGTCGAAATGCTATAACCCAGAGGGTCCATATACACTACTATTATGGAATTAGGTCCCCAAAACCATAATAGGGATGGTCTTTTGGGGCCTAATTCCATAATGGTAGTGTATATGGACCCTCTGGGTAAGCAGTACCTACTTCGGGCTGTTTAGAGTCTCAGTTTTGGGGGGTTTCGGCTACATAGCTTCGGGTGCAGGGTGTTAGGAATCGGGGTTTAGGCTTCGGAGTTTTAGGGTTTGGGGCTTTAGGGTTTAGGGTTCAAGGGTTTAGGGGTTTAGAGTCTGTAGGGTTGAGGGGTTTGGAGTTTAGGGTTTCAGGGAGTTTCAGCTCGAAGTTGGTGGGCTGCAGGATCGGAAATAGGGAGAAGACCGAAAACCCTTGAAAGGTTTTGAGGTAAAGGCTTGAGGCTAAGAAGTCAGTAGACTATGGCATTTAATTTCGGCCCTAAACCCCAAGCCCTAAACCCTAAACCCTAGCGCGGTGTGAGGCCGCGGGATTCGAAGAGTCCAGGCTTGGGGTTTAGTCGTAGCCCTACCGCCCCAAGCCCAATGCCTACGGTTTAGGGTTTAAGGCCCCAGAGCTTTTTGGCGGTTAGGGCTTGGGATTTAGGGTTCAGGGAGGACAGGTCGATCTGGGGTGCGGGGTCCTCCATAAACTTCCTCATGGGGATAACGGCACCCTTCGAAAAGGAGAGGTTTACATCGATGCTAGCGCACTTGCCACAGGAAAGGGGCTCCGTCTTGGTTTTGTTGAAGGCATGTTTTTGCGTTTAGGGTTTGGAGACGCTTAAACATGGAGTTTCGGACACGCCAAAACCGCTTACGGCCTGCTGAGTCTGTTAGGCGGGAAGAAGTAGATTGAAAGTAGCACTGGCGAAAATACGGAAAGTACCACGCCCATCACACCACACAGGGCTTAACACAGGATTCAGTATCTGCTGAAGAAACCCGTCGTGTGCCCGTCACCCGACTGGTTGCTTCAGCAGATCCACAATCCTCTGTTAAGCCGTGCTTCGTGTGACAGGCGCGGTACTTTCGGTATGTTCGCCAGTGTGTTCGCCAGTGT